TAAAACAGATGTGCATGCAAAACTAAAGTTCTGGGAAGAAGACCAAAGCTCAGAAGTGGATGAAGCACCAGAACTTTCCACCCTTGTTTGCAGCTGGTGAATACTAAGAAGAAGATTCAGTATAAAATTGGTATCCAAAATGTCTTGGGAAGTAAAGTCAGCAGGCACAATACTGACCCCACTACTCGTCAAGTACTGACTGGTCTATACAAAATAAAACTAGTTAAACATGCCATATGCATCAAAGGAGACGTCAAATTTACACACATACCATGTTATGAAGACTCAAAGTTGTAACCACACTCCATAAAATTAATGCATTTCCCCACTCACGCCCACAGCAGCCATAAACTTTGTCCAATTTTTTCCACATTATTCTGAACTACTCATGACTTCCAAAAACCTATTCACTAATTTCAGGATCTGTAAAAATAAACCTCACCTTTACTCCAGTGCTTCTCCTAGACATGAAGTTTCAGCGTGATCACAATGAAATTTAACAAAACCGGATTTTCCCCCCCTTAATTTTCCAAAAAAAAAAAAAAAAGACATGGACTCATTCATTCCTGCTCGAAGACATTTCATGGCTAATGTTTTAAGGTTTTGTTTTTTCAAAGGATTAAAGTCTAAACATACACAGCTATTTACTGAAAGAAAATCTGGTAATCCTAGTTTCAGCTTCATAGCAAACGGGTCACCCCACATATGCTCCGCTCCTGTGCCAACGAAAAACAAACGCAGCTCACAGTGTCACGCCATGCACTCAACTCAGAATCTGGGCGACGAAACTACATCCTTCCAGTCTACAAATTGAGCAAAAATGCAACGGCCACCGTCTAGCAAAAAAAAATATTTGCCACGGCTCTAAAAAAAAAAAAAAAAAAAAAAAAAAAGGTGGCCGTACCTAGCGTCCATTTTGACCGGAAGAATTATATGAGGGTTAATAAACGGTCACCCCAGCAGTACCCTCCTTATTAGATGGGGAAGGGACTTAGGACATTACATCCACCAGCAGGCGTCGCCCCTACAACGACCTGCCTGCCATCGTTAACGACTGTTCACCCAACAGCCATGCAGTTCTTTGGCACGAAGGAGACAGATAAAACTGGCCGTCACCCAAAAATAAATAATGAATAATGAAGAAACTGAAAATGTCACAAACTGAGTATCTAGGCTCTATAATAAACAGCTCAAAAGTCCAAAAGAGGATGGCCACAGCAAAATAACAATTAAACAGTATTAAAAGTCTATGGTTAAGCACAAGCAAGGAAATCAAATTGAAAACTTTCAGAGCAAGCAACTTCCCTGTAGCAACATAAGGATGAAGCCAAGGACTATCTCCATGTTGTTAAGAGAGAGGGCGAGGGGCTTTTGAGCTGAAATGCTACAAACAGATTCTCAGAATACCATGGATAAAGAAGGGAAGAAGTACTGATACTCCAAAAGATCTGGACAGTAAAGAAGATTGGTTAACAAACAGCAACTTGTCCCATGGCAGACTGGAAAAATTATTCCAGGGAGGAGAGGCAGGGGCCACACAAAGATGAGCAGAGGATACAAGTGACTACTTAAATATGAAAGTGTACGAGGTATAAGAGCTGGCGAGAGACCGACTTTCTTTCAGGCAGACCGTGATGGAAGGGAACTGCTACATGATGATGATTGACTGACTGATTATTGTATAATTCATTACCCCTCATGAGTTTCAATTAACAAATGAAATGCTTCCTTACAGATGATTATCTCAACTACAGCTTAATTTGAGGTCAGACATATTATGAGCATCCTGAAAAATCAAACCAAGGCTTACTCCTTTACTAACTTCTGTAAAACCATATCTCTGATGCCTCAGTCATTTTTTAACTTGCTCACTAACTGACCAGAACTCACACCCATTTGTTAAATCTGCTTTTACGTAGACAAGCACAAAAAAAAAAAATTCAACCTTCAAATATGGATTTATCGCACACCATATTCTTGATTTCATGCTTTTCTGTAAAAGCAGTGTTTTTTTATGCAGATCTCTTGGGATCGTCACGGAGCTATGGGCTTTCGTGTTTTGTGCGATGCTCTCCAATTTAATCATATATAGCTACATACAAGTGTTTGCATATATGTAACACAATAAACAGATAACTCAGGCCTGTAACATCAACAATTAATCAATTCATTTCTTATTTTTAGCTGGATTAAAATTGAGTTAAACTTTAAGATCTGAATAATCAGGGAGACTGGATCAAAAGTAGTTTCAGTTCCCAAAACAGACCTAATATGGCCATAAAAACTATAATGGATCGGACAGAACAGCAATGGTGACACTGATCCGGGCTGAAAAGCCAAGGGGTCAACCAGCCTGAAACTGGACACAGGCTATCAGAGACATCCTGGGCATGAAAGTTGACACGGGATACTACGGCTTTTGAGGGAAGCTATGACAGAGTGGAATTCTGCATTCTTTGCAGTGATGTGCACATGCTGCTCCCAAAATCCTTGGATGGTCCTATCTCTCTAAGCGCATTAACTATGTCAGGACAATCCACAGGCTAGCAATCTGCAACTAATCTATCAACTCTTTCACTGCCAACAACACCTGCATCTACTGGGACAGACATGAAGGTAACTGCATGGACAGAGAAGTTTTGCAATGACTCAATCCACTGCCTGTGTTCGGAGCCGGCCTCGACCCGCCAGTTCATGCTCATAGATTCACTCAGCACCCACACATGGGAACAGTTCTGTGATTCCAGCCACATGAAAGCTTGTGTGGATGCTACACACACATTCATTTAACATATTTCTTATTCCAACCACTGTTAGATCAATTTTTGAATGTCATGGAAGAAAACTGCTTGGGAACAAAATAATATGAGAAAGGCAGCTGAAAACCTCACTTCATTATGTTACGACTTGAATAGGAATTTCTAACACTTCACAATACTAACAATTTCTGAGTGACACGTTTACGGCCCTGAATATTATTGCGAAACATGGATGACACAGTACTAAAAAAAAATCTGTTTGCTTTTTGTTGTTGCTGGTAACAAATTTGTTGAAAAATGTTCACATTTCCCCTTGTTAGCATAATTTTGAAAAGTGAAGCGAACTGACAATTTTTCTCCTCAAAACAATCATTTATCAATCTTGCATTTCAGTACCATTCCGGAATCCATAAAAATTTAATGTCGAAGGCACATGTGTTTAATCTGTTAATGTGTCAAAGCACAGCTACAATCCTCGGGGCAGCAGGGAAAACCATTAGGCTACACTAGATGTTAAGGGAAAAGAACAATAGGTGAAATCACTGGTGTTGAGCTGCCACCAGTAGCACAACTAATATAGTCATTATAGTATATAATGGATGTTCCTATCTTTAAAAGTCATTACTATCTAGGCTGGCAAGCACTAATTATCAGCGCTTTACTGTCATAACCACGATCCATCAAGCTGGCAATCTGCAAACTCAATCTATCAGAACTACTTTATTTACACAAGTGTTATTGCTAATTATCACACCTTCATACTTATTTATCTTCAAAATGATAATTCATAAACATTAGGGTTCTGGAAAAGGACTGGAGTACAGAAGTGGATGAATGACCAGAACTTTCTGCCGGAGTTTACGGCCGGTGAACGCGAAGAAGAAGATCAATACTATGCTGGAGTAGTACAGAACTTGTAGCTATAGACAACAGACCCTTGTTCATGCCAGTGGCGCCCCAGACTTATGGTTTACCTCCTGATTGTGATTTTATGGCTGGGTCAACCTGGAAGTCTGGGTCAATAATAATAACTGGAAAAAAAAAAAATCTTACTCTGTTAGACAATTCTGAAACTGAGTGTTTCTGAACTTGTGAATTCCCTGTGTGGGTCCAGGGTGCCTGATTTTAGAGGGGGAAAAAAAGAACAAACACACTTCTCCCAAGTTAAGAATTTTAAAGTTGACTAATTGAGATTCCGCTGAAACTGAATGTGTTGGGCCGAAAGGTGCAGATATCACAGCCTAGCTGTAAATCTACAAAACGACATGCCAATCGCCCTTTAAAGGGTGAACACAGCAGTAGAGCTTGTAATAATCTGTTTTACTCACATTTTTTAAACAGTTTAATTTAAAACTGAATATTTTAAAAAACTATAAAACTAAAAAGCCAAGGACTATACCTCGATTCACATGCTAGGAATAAGTAATACTTTAATTAAGGTCTATGCAAACGAAGAAACAAAATGAAGATTTAAAGACATCACAAAAAGCTTCATTCATTATTGGTTGGCAGCATCAGAATGTAGTAGCAAAAAGAAAAGAAATTCACCAGAAAGCGCCTATGACCGACTCACCCAAAGCAGTTTTATATAGTAAGTTTGTCTTTCAAATACATCAATAGCAAGTTTATTATTTCATATAATAATTCTAACATGGCAGACAGAAAAAGGAATACACTCCAGCTTTAAAAAAAATATCGTAACCTTTCTAAGAACAGCTTTAAAAGAGTACACAAAGCAGAATGCATAAACAGTTTAAAAGGCAAATACTTTCCCTCTCACAACCATAAACTAACAGAAGAAGGCAAAGAAACAATACTTGGGGGGAAAAAAGCGATTACAAAAACAGAAAAACATTTCTGGTATTTTTCCACAGAAAATTAAAATACAGAGGGATGTGAAGTTTTTATGTTAACAATGAATCTCAGAGAACCCCTCAGAAACATCTACCTGGTACTTAGAGAGTTAATTATCAAGTATAGCAACTGCAAGAAAAATAATCAAGCTCTAGTATACAACCGTCAAAAAACATTGTATGGATATTTCAACGCTACACATTCCCATGTACCAAAATAAAAAAAACATTCAACAACTCCACACACATACTCTTTTCAAGAAGACGACAGCATGAAAACCTCAAGGCATATTACTGTTATGATAGAGATGGCAGCTCTTTTTGTCGGTTAAAAATAATGACACATGATTGTGAAATTGAAGTTATGGTGATCTGAATGTAGGACTGGTCACAAGCGTTTTAATGTCTTCTTTTTATCACGTTTCTTTTTCTCCAAAAGCTTTTTATCTCCTGCGTGTTTTTTTGCAAGAGGACCGTCTGCTGTTTTATCTTCTGTAGAGCAGTTTTCCTCTGAGACTCTGAAATGCATAATAATAATTCACTAAATCAAATTTCTGCATGATTCATGCCCTGTCTGCATACATAAAACAACCTCCTGCCTCTTGCATACATTTAGCACATAGTTTAGTCATTCGCCCTGCAAAAATCTTTAAAAACAAAAAAGTAAAAAAAAGTAAAAAGAAATGCATCCTTATAATTCTCCCAAACTCTACCCTAAGAAATTAGAGGAAAAGAAGACAAAGTTTAAAAATTCCGCGTCTTAGTCTCAGGCAGTTTTTATAAACATCCAGAGGGTGAAATTGCTAGACCACCACTCCCAGGAAAGCTCAAAGACTACAGCCGTCAATTCACTAAAACATATATACATAAAACCATACCCCTATGTCTATATAATGCAGTTAGAGTCAGTACCAAAAGTTCCCCATGTGGGTTCTGGGGCCCCATTGTGGGAACAACAAGAATAGATCCACTGCCTCCCCAACAAGCATGTCGTAAGAGTCAAATAATTGGGGAGCTTCCTCTCTTCGAAGCCGGGGTGCATCTGCCCAAGCGACAAGAAACAACCCACTGCATGTAAATAAGCCCTTAAGAGGGAAGCACAGGCAAAACAGGCCTTGGCACAAAACCAAAGACCAAATTCACCAACAACCAGGGCTTTCCGCCAAAGTATCTAAAGCCGTTATTTGGGTACAGTGGACTTCATGTCGTCAAACACATGTAAATGTCAGGAAAAAGAGCTTTCCTCGGGCAACAGGGTTCATTCATTCAGTACCAGTGTCAGGGTTCGCCCTGTTACTGGACAGTTCAGTATGATGATGATTAATCTGTAACCCTTAGTGCAACTCAAGTAAGTGTATACACACGTATAAACGAGCATGAAAGTATGAGCGAAGCGTAGCTGGGTCGAGGACAAACGGGCTTCACGAAGGTTGACCAACCACGGCGTGAACTCAGGAACGGAGAATAAAACTGAGTGGACAGGCGAGACTCTGACATTCTGGACCAGACTTCTTGCTTGTGTGACTGCTGTGTAGTTTGACGTGGGACAAAAGTTTATATTGTTAAATTTAGTGACCGTTCATTTTGACTTGTAGAAATGTACCAGTGTAGTTATTAGCTGTAACGCGTTCTGTTTGTAGTGTCATTAAATGTATTTAATTCGTTACAGAGTAGATAGCATGTGGTCTAGTTAGATCTCAGTTAATATCTTATGTAAGGTAGCAGCTTAGCCTTGTCATTAGTTGTAACTAGAAGCCAGACCATGCATTGTTGGTGGCATTAGCACTGTCGACACACTTAGGCCTACGCGTGTGCCATAGCGTCTTTGGCATCGGGAGACAGCGAGTTGAGCTGGCTCTGTACAGGAGAGTGGTAGCGGCTCAGAGCCTTCTTCTATTTTTTCACATTAGTGTTCAACAGCTGGAAAACTGTGTGTTGCGTGTAGTTACATAAGAAATCGACCCAGTCCTGAACAACGCAAATTCCTTGTGTGAATTTTGGGGCAACAATGTGTGTATGTGTGTAAGGGGAGCTCAATGCCTTTTAACAAGAATGTTATAAAGAGTCAACTATTTAGAGTTGTTTCCCTTGTACACACTACATCAAAGTCAACTAAGAGAGAAATCTTCGTTTCAAGGAAATCATGTCTCTCTCTGAAATGGCAAATAAGAAATGTGTACTTGAGTGAAAAGTTAACACTTTATTCTGACCTATTTGGGGTAGCATTTCACATATTTGTCTTTAGCATATTTCAAAGTGACAAAATCACAGCTCTGAAAATGCATGTAGGTGACTGTAGTGCCAACGATGTTTCTGAACTTTTGTGGACACCATCTAACTGTTGCACTAACCCACTCTTTCCCAATTGTTACTTAAAAGTTCTCTTGCCTCACAGTGTTAATTACAGAGTCCCAGACACTATTTTGAGGGGGGAAGGGAAGAACATACTCACTGCCTGTCTAAGAAATGTTTTGTAAAAGGCGACTAGCTAGGAGTGTTTCTTTGTGTCTGGGAAGCAAACAACCAACAGTCTGCATAAATATAAGCTGATCTGATGCAATCAATGTGGTCACTCTTAAATCAGAGTCCCAGCACTTATCTTCTGGTGGTATGCACTAATAACACCTTTCTTTTAAGCATCATGTTTACAGCAATACTGTAAATGGCACTTTAGTGTAGGACCGGCACCTCCCCCCCCCTTCCCTTAAACACTATGTAGTGGGCACCTGCACTTTTTTTTTCTTAAGAAGACACCTTTTGTTTAAAGAAAAAACTTTATAGTGCCCGCTCCCCTTTTTTCCCCTAGAACAAAGCCCTGGATAGTTCTAACATTCCAAGCTTTCACTTCACCGATAATAATGAAAACATATTACCTTAGAGGCTTGGCGTGAATTTCTGTAAACATTTTAGCTCGGAGGGAGTAGTCTTCATATTGCTCCAACAACAACTTTCCAGCTTCAGCATTCAGGGCTGACTCAGGGTTAGGAACAATCAGCAAACACTTGACTGTCTGTAGATTAACAAAGCGATATAGAGTCAATATATTTGACACAGAAATATGCTTCATGTAGTATGATAATAGATATGTTTCATAAAGTTATGACAGGGTGAAGCTTTATCAGGAAAGAAAGAATCAGAAAGACCAGAGAAAGAGGCAAGAGATGAAGAAAGAATAAGGGGAATAGCCCCATGCTAATTTGAATAATTTAAATACATAGAGGTGGTTGGACTGTCTATAACCCTGAGTTTAGATTCTAGCACACTGGAACAATCAACAAGGAAAACTTCAACAGTAAATGGTCTGAGGTTACCTGAAAAAAAGATCCTGTTTAAAAAATAACCAGCCAGGAACAAGTAACAAGGAAGCGGGCAAAAAAAAGGACAAAGTCCGGCCAAAGTTCAAATCTAAGAGGCTAGGTTTGGTTCAGTACATATTCGAGGTAGGAATAGTCTGGAGAGAGAGAGAGAGAGAGAGAGAGAGAGAGAGAGAGAGAGAGAGAGCTCCTCCAAGAAAACAGTAGAGAGAGAGAGAGAGAGCTCCTCCAAGAAAACAGTGGGAAGGAAGTTTGCAATCTATTGCTTGATGGGTAACAATGTCTATTTCTTATTCTGTGTCGATCTGAGCTCTTTAATGTCATCAACTAGCTGCTTTGAAATCAAATATTTTCACGTGTAGCACCTGTGTTGGTAGTTGTGGCTGCATTCTAACAAGATGACCAAACCTTCTGATTTGTTTCTTAATTAACTTGGTGCATGGAGGTGTTCCTGCTCTCGCTCTGACAGTATCATTTGTCACTTTGCCTCATACGGTTGGCAGCTTTTCTCATGCATCTCATTTCACATGTGTTAATGTTATGTAGATTATCCTTGGATAATGTCCAAGTTAAACACTAGTAGCAGTGTTTGTATGAATCTGCTGTTTACTATATATGTTCCTTGTCGGTCATATTTATAAAACACGTTTTTCAGTGCAGTTAAAACCAACCTGCAAGCTATCCAAAAAACTAGTACTGACTCCTGTGCATATAATGTGTCAGCTCGCTTCTAAATTCATCGACACTGCGCGTCACTAAAAGAAGAGACTATTGAGTTTAGTGCTCCTAACAGCACTATGAGCTGTGATTATCGGTTATTGACTGAGTTCCAGATTCGTACATCATGGCAATGATGAGTCATGCATTTTTTCGCTGTGTTCCTGGAACAAGGTGTGTGCTATAGCTGCTATTTATTTGCTGGCTGTGGCTGCAACTTGGCCGGGGACATGTGGAGAATGGCCAGGAATAGTTTTAATCTACTCATCGCCCAGCTACTCGTCAAATGAAGTTGATTTTCAGGAATGAGGCCTAGTCTCGCAGTGTGTTTTTTGAGGCATGCACCTTATGGTTTGCCAGATCAAATCATGTGTGTTTTGCTGAATGAGGACACTTTGTATGGCTACGGCATTCACTTGAAGTATGCAGCGTATCTGACACAATTTGCAACTGTCCCCGTGTGGGTTCTGGGGCCCCATTCTGGGGAAAACAAGAATTGACCCACTGACTACCCAAAAGCATGTTGTAAGAGTCAAACTAGCTGGGGAGCTTCCTTTGAAGTCGGAACGCATCTGCCTGAGATCTAAGGAACCAACAGTCTGCACTCAAGCGAATCAGCTCTGTAAAACTGATGCACATGCAACACTCAGGTTCTGGAGCAGGACTGCAGTTCAGAAATGGACGAACAACCAGAACTTTCCGCCAGAGTGTACAGCTGGAGAACGCGAAGAAGAAGAAGTTTGTGACTGGAATCACTGGCATAGGCAGTTGAGCAATTATGGGCCAAGCTCGTTTGCTGTGATGCCATAGCAATTATGGGCCAAGCTCGTTTGCTGTGATGCCATAGCAATTATGGGCCAAGCTCGTTTGCTGTGATGCCATAGCAATTATGGGCCAAGCTCGTTTGCTGTGATGCCATAACCGTAACGACTAACTAACTGACTGACTATAAGAAAAGAACACATACTCACCAATAAAATATGTTTGATGCCCAGCTCTGGCTTCCAGTCTTTTTTTAATGTGTTGACGCAGATCTCTCCATTGCCAGACACATTGGGATGAAATATTTTGGTGAGAAAGAAAGCTTTGGGTGGTTCTGAGGGAAAGTTGTTGCCGAGGACAAGTTTCATACGGAAAGTCCCGCCAGCATATGGTGTGCCAGCTGAAAAACATATATATTTAAAAAAAAAATTATCCTGCTGGGAATTTGACGAGCATGGCATACTGCAGAACTTATATCAACGTTTTATAAAGCATTTTAAAAAATCTGTTAGCTGTTGTAAAACTCATCATGGAAGTTTTAGATTGAGTGATTCTTTTGTTTACATTTATAATGTTGCCCCCATGTTTACTATACAAATAAAAATGTACAGCACCTTAACTATATTAATTAAATGAAACTGACTGTCCGACCCATCTTCAGCAGCCAGGACAAAGTTCCTGCTGTTGCTGCAATCTGGTCGAGCCTGCCGATTCAGTCACTGTTTGATTCTTTCAGTCACTCTGCCTCTCTGATAGCATCTGGTATATCAGCCTGATTAATTATGCATATGCTTTTCACAACAGTAAGCCTTTGGTCTTGTTTGCTTCCCTTCCTCATACTCACAAATGCCCTCAACAAAAATGATTGTTGTCGTGACCTTTTGAACTTCAATCAGTTTTTAAGTTCGAATTTAGTAGCAACAGTTTGTCTCTGTCTTGTGTGCCCTCTGGGCATGATGAGGATTCATTGACTGACATTAAACATATACTGAATGTGACAATTTATATTTCTACGATCTTATACAAATGATACATAAGCGATGCGATATTGCACACAACCAAACCTAATTGGTAGACATAAATATCATAACCATCAGGTGCCTTGCCGACTGGCGTGGGCGATCATGCCTCTCCATAATCTGCGATCTCCTGCAGCATGTATCAGTTCGTGTGCCGACACACCTCCATGCCATGCAACAAGACTGTCAAGCATCTTCTCTCGTTGTCTTCCTCTATCCCTCCTTCCACAGATCTTTCCAGTGGTCACAACATGTTGTATTTTCCCTCTTCACATAACATGGCCGAAAAATGATGACTGTCTCCTGATGTCTGTGATAAGTTGTCTTCGAGCTCCTGCCCCTTTCAAAACCTCTTGGTTGCTCTTTTTGGCTGTCCAAGGTATTCTAAGCATTCTTCTGTAAAACCACATCTCTGAGGCCCCTAGAAATGGTTTGGCCTGCCTACCGATTGTCCAGGATTCACATACATATGTTAAAACTGGATGTATTAGCAAGCAAGAATTCTTTTTCTAACTCTCAATGACAAGGATATAAACATACATAAATATACATTATTGAAATACAAAAAAATGGTCTCTATATTTCAATTATACCATGGAGGACGGGTTGAACAAGACACTGTTTTTTTAAATTACAACCACTACTATGCATTATGGGACAATAAGCACATCTTGTATTCACTGGTCACTACTTATCAAAACACTATGCAAGATCATTTTCAACGTACACAATTACATATGGTGCAGCACAATGAGGTTTCACATGAACGCTCCTAATATTTACCAGACTCGTTCTTTAACATTATGAGCCTTTTAGGTTCATTGCTGCAGACAATGCCTGCCTCCGTTCATCTCTGTGATTGGTCTTTTCTTTTTAGTTGTGACCCCAAGAGCTTGAAGGTCTTTCAGTAAATTAGACATAGCGCACATTTCCCCCAGATTTATTACAATTACTATGGTTTACTGTATTCAGAAATGTGCAAATTCCAGTGCCTGTATTGACTATTTTGATGCTGCTGATAATTTATACTATTACTTGATGTATGAATGAAATGATGTAGGAAAAAAGGGAGACTAGAAGGGCAGAATGTTAGACGGGCCTGTATGCCCAATTCTTAACCCGTTGAAAATAAAGTTTGTTCCCTTCTATAATGTTGTCCTGGTTTGCATCATAGTTTTTGTGTGCACAGTTTCTGTCTGCTATCTGTGATTCACGCCACATGATGCAACCATTACAGCCTATTAGCCCTCACAATGCCAGTAATCAGTGGTAACTTAAAAAAATTATGGAATTTGATTACGCTTCATAGACAGGTTTAAAAAAAATGGATGTTATACCTGGCCCTTCAATTGTTGCCTGTATGTCTGTAACATCTTCCTCGTTCATAAAAACTTTGATTCCTTCCGGTGGATTTCGACATAAACTACTAATTTCTTTTGTAACTTGTCGAATTATCTGCGGTGACAGATTTTCCACATTTGATACCTGTTGATACAAAAACAGACATGATATGATGTAAAGTTAGGAAAGGACAATTTTTTTTAGGCCAGTGGCACACTGGGCATATGATGATGGGCTACTTTTTTTATAGACCAACTGTCCACCAATGGGAGATGCGGTCAAAATTATATGTAGCACCTTTTTTTTTTATTTGTTTCCTGACACAAGTTTTAGCCACTGTGCTACCACAGCTTGATGATGCTAGACCACATACATAATTAGTCTATATGTTATTTATCTTTAAAAGATCCAATATTCCCTTTGGTTCAGGGACCCCATTTATTGGAGGTGTTGACCAAATGCTCCCCTAACAAGAATGTTTTAAAAGTCATTAATTGGGGGGGTTTTCTTTAAAGGTGCCACAGGTGAGGAACCAGCCATCTGCTTACAAAATAAGTCAAGTCTGCTGAATGAATGTGCAGGCGAAATGCAAGTTCTGGAACAAGACAAACAACCAGAACTTTCCGCTGGAATTTAAAGCTGATAATTGCCAGCAAAAAAAGAAAAAAAAACCAAGACCCAAATAAAGTTTTCAAGCTGCTTTTGGGGAAAATGGCCTGAAAATAACACCTATAGAACAGCCCCATATTTCTTTTAAAAAAAACAACAACAGTTTTTGTGTGTGCAAGTCACAGGAGATAACAATAATTTGATAAAATTTCACAACTGGAACAAGAACAAAATCAATATCAGAGATGGGCGACTGCAACAGTTTGGAATGTGTAGGGAAGCTGGTCATTATTTACCATATCTGTTCATGCATAAGATGACCCCTATTTTTTTAAAGCCCAAAATTAAGGAATAAATATTTTTACACACTGTGTGTATAAGATGATCCTCAATTACACTAAATATGGGAAAACATACTATCTTATTTAAAAAAAAAAAAAAAAAAAAAATTCCACATTACCACTATTTATGCATTTCTCCCAGATAACAGGCAAGAGATTTGTTTAATTACACAAGGTTTTATCTCACAGGGTCTCAATCCACAGAAGATTCGAACTGGGGTCTCCTACATGAGAGTCTAGTGTTCTTAACCGTTCAGCAAGCTGTTCATCAGAAGACAACACCTGATTATAAACACACTAAGGACAGCATTTGATGCATACAAATGGAGAGCAGCTGAGAAGTTTTTAGAACTGGTCATCATTTTAACAGAAGATACCACTTAACTATAGGCACATCGGCTAGGAAATCCCACCAGGTACAGGCACAGAAAGATGTTTTTCATAACACCCTGGCTCCCAGAGAAGCTAGGCCTAAAATGGTACCCAGGCAACACCTTCGGAAGTAAGGGCTGTCAGCACCATTTTGACGACATTCCCCCACTTAACGCCGACTGGTCATAAACAACTGCGAGTCTAGCACAGCTTGCTTCTTCTTCTCTTCCACCTTGTACCTCAGTGAAGTGTCGGGTGGAGATGTAACATTTGTTGATGAGCTCTGTCAAAAGCACTATCAAGAATGATGTTCATTTACGTAAGGCTGTTCTGAATGCCATCACTCCATCTATTCCGAGGTCTTAAGCTCGCTCTATACCCATTGTAACATTTCAGTGTCGCTCGTTGTGGAAGATAGTACCAGAGCATTCTTGTTAGGTGACCAAACCCATTCATTTGTTGTTTTTGATGATCTGTAAGATTGGCTTTATTCCTAGCATTCATCTTATTTCGTAATCTGTCCTTTCTTGAAACTATTGCAGCTCTTCTAAGACATTTAACCTCTGCTGTCACAATTTTACATTTATTAGAGGATGTAAGTGTCCACATTTGGCACTGATAATATAGTGATGGCCAAAAAATAGTTCTGATAAGATTCATTTTATTACTACGGGGCGTCAATGGTGAGATAGTTGCCCTATTACTACATGATTAGCTTTGGCACATCTCGAGGTAATTTCTCTGTCCAGTTTTTCCATTGGATGTGAAAATTGATTTCAAATACTTGAATTCCTGTTTGTCTTAAGACTTTTAATTTTATTTCTAAATTGTCTTTCTGTCTTCGTAGTATTTATTATAATTTTATATTCCTCCCCTTTGTTATTAATTTTATTTAACACCACTTGCTACTGGTATGAAAATAGCCCATTACCACTTTACATGGGCAGAAATGGTCACTAATAATGAACTGCATTTCTAGTGTCTGCCTGTGTTGACACTTTCGGCTTTTGACTGTTATCTTGTGCACTTAATGCACGACTATAACGACTATGCTGTTGGATTTGCTAAGGGAGAGCGATGGACATTCTGTGTGGTTTTCAGTGGTACAGGAAGTGAGCAACTTTGGGGTGACTCATCTTATGTGAAGCTCGAACTTCATTTACCTGATTACCACATTAAGAACTTCTTTTGTTCATATGAAGCAGATTATTAATACCAGAAATATTGTCTCTAGTATGAACTGACTGTGCTTTCTTAATTTATCGACATTTCATCTACAACTGTCTGCATTCAAAAATATGCGCGCTACTGATTTATAAATGAGATCCACGGCACATTCACCTCTATTTTCCTCAGTCTTTTGTCTTGTAGTACTCTCTTATGATTTAATGTTTGTTATTAGTTTGCCTTTTATCAGTCTATCGTTCTGTTTTTCAGAAATGTTAATTTTTTTTATTGGTCTTTTGGTTTCCAGAATGTGTCTATTAGCAAATCTCACATATAGCTGGACCCTTCTCATGTCATTTGTGCAAGTTGATTGAAGATCCACATTTTTACACACCAGTCACAAGTTATTGGGTGTGGCCAAATCTGGCTAGGCTTCATAGAATATTTCCTGGTACCCATATTAGTCTCAGCTGACATCGAAAAGAGGGTGAATTAATTAGCTGACATGGAAGCAAATGTAAATTAAACATAATATTTGTCTGATGTAGTCGCAAGGAAGGCACCATCACGAGCTAAATTGTCATATATTTGTGCTGAATCATTTTGTAATTATCTGGTTTTCTCAACTTAACTGTGGTTAATAAAGTGGAATGATAGTTTATTTCTTCTCATAAATCAATTATTGGTTACCTTCCTTCCACGTCTTGTCTTCCCTAACTCAGCTGCGACTTTCTGTACTTTTAAATTTATCCGTCATCATGGGCTCCTGCAAATGATTTCATGTTGGGTAAAAACACTTATTATTCTAGTATACTACTCCGCCTAGTGAACAGAGTGCGCAAACTGTATTGTAACAGCAAGCGGTGTGGTTTCTGGAAGTCTAACTAAATGTCACAACCCTAAGAGATGAAGACGGCCAATGATGAATTGAATTATTACGACGGAGTAGTCATAGTCAGTCAGAACGAGAACGGCGATGATTTCTTGTGCTGAGTCTACGACGTGTCATATTTTAGATAACACATACTCCTTTACTTTAATATCTTCATTATTTTGTATTACCATTGATTTAACTTTTTTTTTAACCATATTTTCGAAAACAAAAACTAACAGAAATAAGCATTTGTATATAAATAAAATTGACTGCGTAGGGTGGATGGACATGAAAATCGAGATCCGGACAGTCCACCAAAATACTAGGGGATGATCGCTCACCAGGTTAAAAGAACTACGTCAACGAATCCAACACGATATACTTACGTTCGACATTTTATCTGCGAAGAAAAGCTACACGGATTATGAATACAGCCAAAAAGCAATGATGGAATTCACTCCCATGAAAGAAAAGGAGGGATGATATGTCGAGATGTGTCCCAACTGGAAGAGCTCCGACATCACAAGGAGGAAGCTTCTAAACCCACTACCTAATTTTGACCAATGGCGGTGTTGCGTTTCGGTTTTCATGGTTCGTTTTATGTAATTTTTGTCATATTTATCGCATTTGAGATTTTTGAAGGTTTTTTTTTTCAAAATTAGATACGCTCAAAGTAAATATTTATAATATATTTGTTGTTTAAAAAAAATAGTTTGATGATTATGCTATGAGCACATGCGAGATGTAAACAAAGCAGATATACGACAAGTGTGGGAATAGGGTCTTTATGGAACTGTTTGTTGTTTACTGACACACTATCTTTGTCATTTGAGAGAGAAAGAGAGGAGAGAGAGAGAGAGAGAGAGAGAGAGAGAGAGAGAGAGAGAGAGAGAGAGAGAGAGAGTTACCTACGTTAGTGGTAAATGGTCCTTACGAAATAGTTTTCTTCAAAGTCGGAGTGCTGAAGAAGCTAAAGGTCTACAAAGCCGTAATTCTTCCAGCACTGCTCTACGCTTGCGAAACATGGGCTGTGTATCAGCACCATGTCAAAAAGTTGAATAAGTTTCATATAACTTGTCTGAGAAAACTGCTCAAAGACAAATAGCAAGATAAGATCCCAAATACTGTGGTTCTTGATAGGGCAAAACTGCCTAGCAGCCACACGATACTGAAGAATTGTCAACTGTGTTGAGCTGGTCACATAGCTCACATGCCAGACTATCGCCTTCTAGAGTATTTTATGGGGAGCTCCGGCAAGGGAAGATATCCTTGGGAGGACAGAAAAAGCGCTATAAAAACACTAACAAAACTGCCCTCAATTCTTTTGGCGTCAACACTGTGCCATTGGAGGCGTCTGCATAGGGCCGTTCTGGATGGCGTACACCCCTCAGGCATGGTGCATCAGCCTGCCAGGCAGCGGAGGTTGCACATGCAGAGAAAAGGAGGCAGACTAGATAGAACCCTATTGCTCATCCAACTCTTCCTGCGGCATAAACCTGTTGTTCGTACTGCTCAAGAGCTTTCGGGGCTCATATTGGACTAAGCCACCTTCGTACTCATAATCGTTGATCACTACTACTTTGGATGAAAAGTGGTCTTCATCACTAGTGATAGACGAACAACAAACAACCAGGTGTGAAGAAGAAGAAGACGAAGAAGCAAGATCGGGTTGCACACCAACTGTAACTAAAATAGTGCGCAAACTATATGTTTGATCACAGACCTGGCTGACGTTCGGGAACATTGAACATCTCATGGCTGGCAGTTTGCATCGATGCCATTTTTCGGTTTGTACATATGACTTTAAAAAAAAAAAACTGATTAGTATTATGCTCTAAATTTGAAATGTTAAAAGAATTCAACAGAGCCATTATATTTGCTGTGGTGAAATTAAATACTGCGTACATATATACTATATTGTATTATTTCTTCTTCTTCTTCAGCGTTCGACATCAGTCTAAACATTGAGTCCTGTCTGGGTCACAAAAATAGGATTGTGCGTTTAACTTTAAGGTCGCCACCGGTCCCCCGTAGCTTCTCTTTCAATCTCCATTCTGCCTTCTCCACTCCCGCTTGAAAGACTGCTTTAGCGCTGTTTTGGTTTCCTTATAGCTGTGTGGTGGATGAGGTTGTGGAAGAATACTCCCAGGTTTGTCAACTCATCTGCTCTTTCATTTACTTGAATACCACAGTGGGCTGGTATCCACTGCAAGACCAGTTCTGCTTCCTTGGAGAGTAAGCCAATGTTGGTCCTTAGATCTGCAGTTAGTTTGTCTTGTTTTTTGCTTGATAGTGCTTGAAGAACAGACAATGAGTCACTAAGTATAACAATTTTGTGCCCTCTGTGTTCTTGATTGATGAGATGTTGGACTGCAGAAAGGAGTGCAGATGTCACCTGCTGGTAGAGAGAGAGAGAGAGAGAGAGAGAGTTTCCGCTCTACTGCTATGGGGTTTAATGTATATTTCACAACCCCCCTTTCTGACTGCATCTGTAGCAGAGCCGTCGGTGAAAACCTGAGTCCAAGTGGAGTTTGGATACTTCTCATCAAGCATAACAAGAGCCAGGGTTCTCTGTTGTGTCTCCGTCTGGGCATCTTTTGAAGTGATCCCTGGTACCTTTAGGACTACATTTGCCTTCTCTGGCTTGCTTGTCCATGGTTCTGACCTAAGTTTTTCGCACAGTGCTACGTCTCTTTCAAGCAGATCTCGGTGCTGTCTGTAGAGTTCTCTAGCAAGGTGGTTGGGGCTCTGACGCTTCAGTCTGTTTTTGGTTCTCTCTTGAAATTTAAAATGCAGTGGATGACTTTCAAGTCTTTTTAATTTCTCATACTGTAAAAGAGTTTTGTTTTGTCTTCTGAGTTCGAGTGGTTCCGTATCTGCTATCCTCTCTATCTCTCTGATGGGAGTGTTTTTCATGGCTCCGAGAACAATCCTTAATCCCATATTCTGAACCTTGTCCAGTTTTCCCATTGTTGTCTTGGCTGCTGCAGCCCATGCAGTGGAGGCATATTCCATGACTGGCCTAACTGCTCCAATATATACTTGTTTTAGGATTCTGGAGTTAGCGCCCCATGTGGTACCCTCTAATTTTTTCATCACTGCAAGCTTCTTGAATGCTTTCCCCTGTACTGCTTCTATGTTTGACTTCCAAGTTAGTCGCGAAACAAGTGTAACGCCAAGAAAGGTAGGAGTGTCAGTCTGTGGAATGAGCTGGTTTTTTATCCAAATTTTGATTTTTTCTTTTTTGGGGGAGAGAGAGAAAAGTGATGCTGTGCTTTTTGAATTATTTAGCTTTAGACCCTACTTTTCGGTCCAGGCTTCTACATTTTCCACAGTTTTCTGTAACAGATATGAGGCTGTGGTAGTGTATTCGGAGGCTGTCCAAACTGCAAAGTCATCAGCATGTAGGGTATTATAAACGTGCTGGTATCAGGTTGTTGTGATATCATTTATGTAAACCAGGAACAGAGTTGGTGCTCTATTTCCTGTGCCAGATATGTCAACTGGTCCTCCGTGTTTCTGTGCTGTCTGTATTATGTCTGTGTGGTGGTGATTACAGAGTTTGTCTCCAAGAACCACATTAGTCTTTTATTTACTAATTTCTCCATCAATTTTCCTACACAACTAAGAAAGCTGTAGCTTTTTGGGTCTCTTCTGTCTCTACCCTTTTTAAGGATAGGCTGGTTATGGAGAGGCATGATCGCCCACGCCAATCGACAAGGCACCTGATGATGATGATGTGGATGAGAGCTTCCTTCCAGGCTGGCGGTACACCTTTTTGCCAGCTCTGGTTGAAAATGCAGAGAAGACACTTTTTGGCAGCAGGTCCAAGATGAGAGAGAAATTCGTTTGAAATGCCGTCCTGGGGCTTTCTTCATTTTCAACTCTCCAATTCCAACTTCCAGCTCTTGCATAGTAAACTTTTCTGACATGCAGGCCTCGGTTGTTTTCGTGCTAGAGTCTGCTAGAAGAGTCTTGGTCTGGTTTCGTACTTCTTTTATTCTTTGCATGGGAATATGAACCTCAGTTTCCTTCTGGTGTGTTTCAGCTAGCACATCTGCTGCTACCTTGCCAGTAACCGCTCCATCGTCTGTTAGGAGTACAACTCTGGCTTTTTTTCTGTCTTGTCTCAATTCAGGCTTTTTGTGAGATTCCACAGACGCGAAGTGTCCTTCTCGAGGTTAAATGACGCCGTCTTTTTGTGCCAGCTTTCCCTCATCTGATTATTTCTCTCTTTGATGAAGACTGCTTTTGCTCTGTTATGAAGTATAACATTTTTATCTGTCGGATCCTCTTCTCCATATTTTCCCTCCTAGTACTAAGTTTGGAGTGCAGAGTGTCCAGTTCAGGTGACCAGTAAGGTTTAAAGTTTTTCCTGCTACCTCGTGGTATGTTACCCTTGGCTGCATTTAGAATAGTTGTGTTGAGGATCGTCAGTTTGGCATTTATTTCCAGTCTTCTGAGGAAGACTCTCTTCAACATGTCATCCAAATGGGAAGTGAAAAGGCTCCAGTTAGCCTTTTTGTAGTTCCATCTGGGAGGGTTCTTTTCCTTAGTAACCTCTCTACTGTTGTTAATAGACAGGATTACGGGCCTGTGATCACTGCCTCCCAGCTGTTGACATACATCCCGGCTTGTAACTTTCTCCACATCTTCAGTTGCTATAGCCAAGTCTGGAGTGCTAGTTTTCCTCCAAGCTCGAGAGAAGAATGTGTCTAGGTCGTCACGATGATTTATCAGAACGAGAGTGTTTCTGATTATCCAGTTTTCTACCTCTTCTCCTTTCGCTCTGATAACATAACATATCATAACATAGCACTCTGATTTGTATGCCCGTCTCGCCTTTTCTCTGAATGTTAAGTGTCGGCCAGATCCGCTGGTCACTCCCAGCTGCATCATTCTCTTCAGACAGTGATCCGGGTAGAATGGACCCTGTCAGCTGGGGACATCACTCCATCTAAGGAAGCTCTTCCTGACAGAAAAGCACGTTAATTAAGGCGGAGGTGCCGGACCGAAAGGCACAGATAGATCAGAAAGGTGTCCTAGCCGAACCTGAAAACTACGGTACCATGCTGTTCCATCTGTAATGTCAGTGACCGAAAATTAGACCGATGGATTTGATGTTGAGCCTGTTGACCCTACCAGCCAGGCGCAGTACTGGTAACCTCCGCCTTCCCTTGACCCTACCAGCCAGGCGCAGTACCGGTAACCTCCGCCTTCCCTTGACCCAACCAGCCAGGCTCAGTACCGGGCACCTCCGCCTCTCCTCGAAGTAGACCAACAGAAGTTAAAACAAGATGTACGGAACAGTGGAAGACATGGATCTGCCCTACAGACTTCAAAGAGGCCTGTGACCTTTTCATAGGAAAAAGGGGCAACGAGAAGAAAGAAGACT